AGACACTCCATTCCGCCCCGCCGCGCCCCACCGCCGCCAGCAGACTGATTCCGCGGAGCGCTCTCGCTGTCTCTCTCGCGCCTCACGCCCGACCACTGCTTGGAACCAGACTGCCGCAACGGAGAGCGCCCGGTGGATAGGCAGCCCCTTTGGCGGGGGTGCGCGCGCCCCGGTGTTCTGCAGGCGCTGCTGCCGCCGCTGCTCCGAGCCGGTTGGGTTGCCTGCGCGTCCGGGGGTCTGGGAGAGCCGGCGGCAACCCAACGCGCTGCTGCCCGGGCGCGTCTCCCAGACCATCGTCGTCGTTGTCGTCGTCGCCTCCGCCGCCGCCGGCGGCCGTTCCCCGCGTCTCGGCGAAAAATTTATCCCGCAAAGTTTGCTCCGCTCATCCTTATAGCCGATTAAGTCGAATACTGGCGATGCGCGTCCTGCCCGGTCCCGCCCGGTCCCGCCATGGCCCAAGTTGGAAGTTGGGCGAGACGCGGGGGGTCGGCGATTTCCACCGTCCGAGCCGCCGGTCGGGGCGGCCACCACAATGGGCCCGGCGCCGGCGTAACAGAGATTTTATGGAAAGGCGTAGCGACGCATCTCTCCCCCCCCCTCTCTCTCTATCGCTGTAAAGGGAAATTATTTTTTGACGGCGTGTAAGCACAGGCGCGCGTAGTGAAGCGTAGCCGAGCGTGGCCAGGCGAGGGCCAGGCGCCACTTGAGTACAATTTACGGCCACTTGGGGAGGCGCTCCGCGCTCCGCCCCCGCGGGCCGAGTGCTGCATTTACAAGGGCATATACAGCGGGCACTCCAATCCAATGAGCTATCTCGCCGCGCAAGTGTGTGTGTGTGTGTGTGTGTGTGTGTGTGTGTCACACGCGTGAGTGTGAGTGAGGGCGTCTGCAGGCAGAGATAGTGCGAGTGCTTTGTCTCCACGGCGCCCGCTGACGGCGGGGTAGGCCGGCCCGCACGGCGCGCGGGTGTGGTGGTGGAGGCGGTGGCCTACCCAGCACGGCGCTTGCAGGCGGAGGCGCGGAGGCTGGAGCAGCTTGCCGCCGCTGCCGCCAGGGGTCGCCACCCCACGGCGCAAGTCTCAAGTCGGCAGGGCTTCAATAATTTGACAGATTAGTCAGTCCCGCGCGCCGCGCCGCGTCATGGCCGCGTCCTCCGTCGTGTCGCTGGGCGGCCGTCGCGGACGTGTGCGTGGTCGGGGCAAGGGCAGGCAATCAATGAACGGCTTACTCGAGGGAAAGTTTTTAATGCACGGTGCAGGTAGCAAAGCAGTGAAGGAATACAGTGTACTGGCGCCCCACCCCACTGGAAGATTCCCACGGCCCCGTCACCCCTCCGGGCCCTCCGCGTGCACGGCCGCACGGCCGCACGGCGAGGGGCGCGCGCCCCGCCTCGCCGAGTACCTCGTTAATACTTTGCCCGAACTCGACATGGGAATTTACATACTTTAATGTTACTTCGCGGACTGCACACTCGGCAGTGAGGAGCGCCCCCCCCCCCTCTCCCCCGGCGCTCGGCAAGCCTTCCGCTCGGCGAGCTGAGCGAGCCTTCCGCCCGCCGGCGCGGCCGTCGACGACGACGCCGGTTTGTCATGCCAAAATAAAGAGGAGGGTGGAATGGCAGTGCTCCGAAGGTCGTTACTGCTTCGACGCGGTCCTCGAGGGCTCTTTTATTTGTGTGTCCGCCATCGAGGGGTCTTTGACGTCGAACCGGAATGCAGCAACTCGCTTCCAAGGGCCGGGAATCGTTGGAGACGACCGTGAAGAGAGGGCGCGCCACCCGGCCCTTCAGGACGGCCCTTCAGGGCGGCTCTTCAGGGCGGCCACCCTACAGGGCTTCCCGCCGAAGGCTGTCGCCCCCTGTCGCCCCCTGTCGCCCTGCTGTCGCCCTGCACGGCACACCGCCGACAACAGCCGCCGACGCCCTGGCCGCGCGCCGCCATGCCACCCCCGCGCACCGCGCCGCGCGCCGTGTATTCGCCAGGGGCTTTGACCTACTTCTAAAAGGTCATGGGTGTCTCTTGGAAACAGTCCGGGGGGTGGGAATGTGACAGCGTGGCAGCGCTGCAGGGCGGGATGCGGAGAACGCCCTGGGCTGGGGCGCAGGGCGCAGGGCAGGGCGCAGGGCGCAGGGCAGGACGCAGGCGGGCGCGGCAATCGATAGTGGTGCAGGGCAGGCGCGGCGCTGTGCTGTGCTGCGCTGCGGGGGGCCGGCTTGGCGTTAGCACTGACCGCTCTGAATGACCTTGGCGCCCGTCGGCCCCTCAACCCTTGATGCACCGCGCGAGAAAAGACCGAAAAGAGGCACAGTGTAACAAACAGGTATAATTTATTACACAAAAGGAGTGCGACTAAGGCGCTCTCACAACAATGTACACTAAACGTCACAGACAAGAAAAAAACCTGCCATAAAAAAATATAAAAACAAACAGAAGTATCTTGGTCCACAGTATCATAGTGGCAAGAAATGGATGTTATGAGTGCGAAAGAGAAAGGACAGCACAGGTGCTAGAATAAGATGACTAGGGATCAGAGAGAGGAATGAATGGGTGGACAGTTTTCATTTTTAGTCATGCCAATAAAGTTTTAGAATACAATAAGGAGGTTACAACAGTCGATACAGAGTTCCCCAGGCTGACGCACTGGGATCAAAACATTATCAAAATTCCCTGCTACCCTGCTTAATTTCATTCGACTTAAACTCAACTGTCTTCAATCAGAGAAATAAGGAAAGGCATTAGAAGAGTTGAACATTTGTCAGAGTTTTACAAGATAAGCTGAAAGAGGCGTTACATATTACTTCGTGCAGATTTAATTATACGGAGGCTGCACACACAAGGACGACACAAAAGATGGAAACGAGAGTACATTAAATACACTTTTGAACATTGAAACAAATAAAAATAGAGATGCCTCTCGCCAGAGTGGTGTCAATGCTGCTAACGAAATACTGCTCATTGACGTGTTGAGTGAATTTATGTGGTGACAAAGTGATGATAAATGAATGCGATGACGATGTAATGAATGAATAACGATGTGATGAATGAGTGGACAAATGACTGAGACGGAGCGAATGACAATGATTTGATGACAATGATTTGGTGACAATGATTTGGTGACAATGATATGATGACAATGATTTGATGACAATGATTTGGTGACAATGATATGATGACAATGATATGATGACAATGATATGATGACAATGATATGATGACAATGATATGATGACAATGATATGATGACAATGATGACAATGATATAATGACAATGATATGATGACAATGATATGATGACAATGATTTGATGACAATGATTTGATGACAATGATTTGATGACAATGATTTGATGACAATGATTTGATGACAATGATTTGATGACAATGATTTGATGACAATGATTTGATGACAATGATTTGATGACAAGGTAAGTATTGATGGCAACGATTTGATAATTATTTCATAATAATAATTTGATAATAATGGATTTATAATAATGATTTCATAATGATAATTTCATGATGATGATATGATGATGATTTAATGATAATGATGTCATGATGATTTGATGATAATGATGTGATAATGATAATGATACGATGATGATTTGATGATAATGATGTAATGATGATTTGATAATGATTTGATGATAATGATATGATGGTTTAATGATAATGGTATGATGATACTTGATGATAATGGTATGATAATGGTTTAATGATAATGATCTCATGATGATTTGATGATAATAATTTGATGGTGAATGGATGTATGAGGACGATGTGATGGTGAATGAGTGAGGATGAAGTGATGATGAGTGAATACATGGGGATGATGTGATGATGAGTAAATGCATGGGGATGATGTGATGAATGAATGCATGGGTATGATGAATGAATGCGAGGATGATGAGAGGGTGAATGAACGGGGATGAAGTGGTGATGGGTGAATGTATGTGGATGATGTGATGATAAGTGAAAAAACGAGCATGATATGATGGTTAATGAATGAGGACGTGATGACTAATGCATAAATGAATGACGATTTGGTGAAAGAATGAATGTTAAGGATTAGATGGGGAATGAATAATGAGGATGTGATGAAAGAGAGAATGATGAGAATGAGATGAAAGAATGAATGGTGAAAATGCGATGAAAGGATGAATGATTAGGATGTGATGAATGAGAGAATGAGGATGGCGAATGAATGAATGGGTAAATGAATGGGGGAATGAATGATGACATGAAATAATGAATGAATGACATGAAATGATGAATGAATGACATGAAATGATGAATGAATGACATGAAATGATGAATGAATGACATGAAATGATGAATGAATGACATGAAATGATGAATGAATGACATGAAATGATGAACGAATGACATGAAATGATGAATGAATGACATGAAATGATGGATGAATGACATGAAATGATGGATGAATGACATGAAATGATGGATGAATGACATGAAATGATGAATGAATGACATGAAATGATGAATGAATGACATGAAATGATGAATGAATGACATGAAATGATGAATAAATGACATGAAATGATGAATGACAAGAAAGGATGAGTGAATGACATGAAATAATGAATGAATGACATGAAATAATGATGAATGACATGAAATGAATGGAATAAATGACAAAGAAAATGAAAGAGTGGGCATGAAAAGATGAGGGGAAAAGAATAGTGGAATGAATGACCCTGGGGAAACAATGGGTGGGAAATAAATAAATTTTTCGACACTTGGAAAAATTTTTCATGAGAGGAATGAAGAAAATGAAAAGACGACTTTTGGACAATGTGCTGAAAGATAAATAAAGTTGAGATCGAATATGGCAAAAGAATGAGCGCTAAGCAAATCGGGACGGCAGCGACACCGAACAGTGGTTTTCGACGGCTTGGGAAAACGTGCAAAGGAAGAGGGAATTGGAGAAGCATGACAAATAGAGCCGCTTCGCTAGGGCCCCGATATTTGATGGCTGCATAAATTTTTGGCAATAAATTCGAGATCGAACTATCACAAAAACGACATTACCGCTGCTAACGCAAATCGGGACGGCCTGCGACACCGAAGCAGTGCGTGCTCGGCGTGCTCGGCGGCGTGCTCGGGGACACGTGCAAAGGCAATGCATGGCGAAAGGAGAAGGCATGACAAGGATGAGGGCGCTGGGTCGCTAGGGCCATGGCGATGATTGGTGATGGCGAGAGTGGCATAAGGATGGTTGTGGCAATGATGGTACGAATGCGATGACAATGATTTAATGAAAGAGACCCGTTATTCAAACGGGTGTCAAGTTAAGGGAAGAATGGGCAAGAGCAGCAGCGCCGTGACATGTGGTGCAGCCAACGTTAACACAATAATGTCCTAACACCGTGCGCGTGCGTCCGCGTGCGTCCGCGCGCGTCTCAGTGGATGCCTTCTAGAGGTGAGTAGGTCTTGTACTGGTACAGGTCGGAGCCGCCGTATCCATACAGCAGCTTGCCCCTTCCCTTCTCGTCGTAGTACGGGTACCGGTACTTGGGCCTGCAACACACAATGGCCAGCCAATGGCCCGCGTGAGCACTACGGGCAGCAGGCGCGGGCTGGCGGGCGCTTGCACAACACGGCAGTGTGTCCCGGCCACGTCCATGTGCCGTGCCGTGCCGTGCCGGCCGGGTCAACGTCTCGCCGTGTCTGGCAGTCGGTCGGTACGCACCTCTCAAAGTACTGGAAGTTGGGCGCTTTGGGCGTGAGCACGCCCTTCTGGGCCTGCACCTCGGCCAGCAGGACGGCGCTGCAGATCACCTGCAACAGGCAGACGGGGCACACGGTCAGGCCGAGCCGAGTCGGGGCCGAGTCGGGGTCCAGTCGGATCGCGTCGCAAGCAAGGGTACGGAAAGAGCGGTAATGCAAGCGGGCCGGCCGAATGGTAAACAACGCGCTGTGTGTGTGTGTGTGTGTGTGTCTGTCTGTCTGTCTGTGTGTGTCTGTGTGCAACGCCTAGTTCCACATCCCCGCTCCAGCCCTGCGCCTCGCCTCGCCACGCCACGCTTGTTGTTGTCCTGCGTGTGACGCAACGCCATGATGTAACGTTACGCCTGGCCGGCCGTTACGGGCGGGGCGGTGCGGGTTCGGGCGCGGCGTAACGTTGAGGCTCCGGATGACTCCGAAGCGCCCCCCCTCCCCTCCCCCACCAGCAGCACGGAGATTTGGAGGGGTGGGCGAACGGGTGCGCCGCTCGCTTCCGCCTTGAGTCCCGCACGTAGAGGGGCCATTTTAATGACCCAGTTTCCTTCAACCTACTCACACACACACACACACACACGATGGGCAATGCTTATTCTCCCAACAAATCAACCCCCTTTATCCCCTTTTCGCCTCACGGCCACAGCGACGCTCGGGTCAACGCGCTGTGCAGTGCATGTGGCCGTGGGGCCAGCAGGGGCCAGGCCCGACCCCGACGGGGCGCGGCGGCACGGCGGCGGCATGGCGGCGGCTAGAAGCCTCTCGCGTGCAAGAAGACGCGACGTAAAAAGCGCGTCGAATGCGAATCGTCGCCACGCAACAGCGCTGTGCTTCGGCTGTGCTGCAGTGACCCCAAGGGGGCACAGCGTGCCCAGCGTGCCCCGCAACAACGGGTGAGGTGACGGGCGAGAGGTGCGGAGCCGCGCGAGCGACGCCATTCTCTCCCAGCTGGCTCTGCTCGGAATCAGACCACAGAGATGAACCGACACGTTCTGCCAGTCACCGGCGCAGTCACCGCCAAAGGCCAAGGGAATGTCTTCTCGTCAACATTTCAAATTCTCAGGTGACTCGCAAAGCAACGCAAACCGGTGGGGCACAGCACAGCACAGCAAAAAAAAAATTAACTGTTCATATTGTAAATGTCACAGTTTTTGTTTAGATTAAAACTCTCTAGATGCGTTTCAAACACGACAAAAACAAAGAAAATTCCTAAAAATTGTTTCGGGGACTGGAACGTGGCATGGAAAAACAACACCGTCAAGAACCGCCAAACCGCCAAGCGACATATCTACCTCCCCAACGTACAGGTGTTCCCCTGGCGGCGGCCGCAAGCCGCGGACCGGGTCGTCGACGTACTCACCAGCAGCACCCCTAGCTGGGCCCTGGAGGCCCTGGAGGCCGTGGAGGCCGTGGAGGCAGCCATGGCGGCGTCGGCTCGCCGGCCTCCTCGCCGAAGGCCTTAGGGAGGCACTCGTGCCCCGGTGGCCGCGCGTGTCCGTGTCCGCGTCGTGACTGGTGATGCGGCTGGGCTGGCACTTTGGGGCGTCGTCGGGCACTGCCGCCGTCCGCCTGGCCCAGGAACCGCCAGCCGCCGGCCTGCGCCAGCGTGCGCCAGCCCGGCAGGACCAGGGCTGTCTCCGCGGGCCGCCCGCTTTCCCTTTCTCGCTCCCTCTCGCTGCCTGGCGTGCCTGGCCGGGCCGCGGGGGACGAGGACGCCGACGGCCGCCTGGACGGCCTGGACGATCTGGACGCAGCGCGCCAGCGCGGCTCCACCGGCCGGTTACTTCACGGACTTTCCCTTTCTCTGAGGCGGTTGCACCGCGAGCCCCCCAGCCCCGCTCCGGCCGCTGCCTCTCCCCGCCGTGCCGCGCCGCGGCGAGCCGCTCCAGCCGCTCCAGAGCCGTCCGCAGGCGGTCCAGCAGCTCCACCACCACCGCGGCCACGACGGCCACCTCCACCTCCGCGTCGACAGTTCCGATGTAATAACCGGGCCACTTCTCCACTTCTGGCCGCCGCCGCCGCCGCCCCGGCGGAAGCGTTCCCTTCGGCTTCGGCTCGGCGTGATCCAACCGCGCGGCCCGGGATCACGTCCACGTCCCGAGTCCCGGACACAGCTGCGACTAATGCTCACCACTTTACATAAAACCCAAAAACCCGCCCTCCGTTCCCCTCTCGGATTTCCGTCGCCAGGAAGAAAAATGGGAGCTCTGACCGCGCTATTTTTCCGTCACTTCCTTCACTAACTACGAACATCGTCAAACTTTTTGGGTCAGTTTAACTTTGTGCGCTCGACAGTGAGAAACGCCACCGATTTGAATCTTGGCCGCCTGTTTTGAAACCGGCGCGCAGTGCAGTCCTAGTCCTGCCGCAGTCCTGCGCGCCTTGCTGCCGCTGCGCTGGCGCCGCCCTGCTGGACACCGCCCTGGAAGCTGGAGCACTGGAACACTGGAACGCTGGAACGCGGCAGTGGCCGAGGCGCGAGGCACCGCGAGGCAGTCGCCACACAATCGAAGCGGGACGCGGCTGCCGGCTGCCAGGGCCTTGCCAGGTGTCCTAGTTGCTGCTCCGGCCGCCTGGAGCGGCTGGACAAAAAGTATTTGATGTAAGCGAAAAATATTCCAAACCAATGGCGTTTTCAAATGCCTAGGGCTATGCTGCCACGAGGAGCCTAGCCCACTATTTAGCTCCCCCTGTGCCGAAACTACTTAGCTGAGCGTGAAGAGACAAGTCCGGCCGAACGCTTAGCAGCTTGCAGCTACTGACCCAGCCCCGATTATTTTTATTTTCCTCTGTGCGGCTGGATTTGCCCGTTTCAGTCGACCACGTCTGATAAGGTCAATTTGGTTGCGATTACATGCAGATTTTCCTCCGAGCGTACGGTCGCAGTTCGTGTCGCAAACAAAAAAGTAGTGTAAAAAAACGTGAAAAAGGAGGAGTGTTGCAAAGCAACACCCTCGCAGAAACCAGAAGCCATTTCAGATCCAATGTTAATAAAATGGATGTGGATCGAGACGGGCCTAAACCACCTGTGCAATCCAGGGGGCACGGCGACGGTGTCTGGCACGCTATTCGCGGCCAACGCCACACACGCACACACTCTCACTCACTCACACACACACGCACGCAAAAACACTAACCCCGGCCAAATCGTGATGGGAACTCTTTTCTCTGTTGTAATAACGTCTGTTGGCGGCAAATCTTGAGAGAAGCGGAATCATAGGGGGAAGGGAGGGGAGGGGCTGCACTGTCCGGAGAGGGGCAGGGGTGGGGGAGAGAAAGAGAGAGACTGCTGCAGGAATAATGCACCGAGACGGCAAAAAAGACACGGGGACGGTCATCACTCCTACACCGTACACATGCACGCCGGCCATTGTACGTGGGGCGTTCCGAGCGTTCGGCGAGCGTGCGGCACGCGGGGCCTCGTTATGGGAACGTGCTGATGGCAGCAGTGGTCCTGTGCAACCTGTGCAACGGTGCAGCGTGTTTCGTAGTGCAGTAGCACGGTATGTCGTGTTTGTTTTGTTCTCAGCTTCCATTTCTTTCTATCTTTAAAAAGGGGCACGAGAATTTTTTTTTAAAGAAACGAAGTACAAGACTCGTTGGTTCAAAAGTGTGGTGGGCCCATTTTTTTTTTGATTCCCCTGCCACCTAGCTTGCTTATCACCGCTGTCGTTAATTCGGTCGCGGCCAGGGCAACCAACTCCCCGCTCGGTCGCCCCTGGTCGCCCCCGCACCGCATCCCAAATGCACGCAGGCGAGCCCGCCAGCCCAGGCCTGGCTCTGCGCCGCCCTGCCAAGTTTGGCGACAGCGTGGTCGCAAAGTTCAGTGGGTTATGCATAATGTTGGCCGTGGTCCAGACTCCGGCGCCGCGTGTACGTAGTAGCAGTGCAGCCGGGCCCGCTGGAGCTACCTGGAGCCACCTGGAGCCCTCCGCTGGAGTCCCCTGGAGCCCCGGGAAGCCGAAAAGGCGGAAGACAGTTCTGGCCGCATCTCGCAATGCCCCCCCCCCTCCCCGCCCCAACCCGGCCAAGAAGAAGAGAGAGAAACGACTTTGGACCGGATTGGACGGCCTGTGTGTGTCAGTGTGTGTGTCTGTGTGTGTCTGCCAGCCTGAAAAGGCACCCGTTCTGCCTGGATGCGTTGCGACCTACCGCTCTGTGCGCCTTCTCTTTGTAGGAGGATTCTCCCCAGACAAGAATGTTTTCAGCCAGATGCTTTTCTTAGTCCGGCGTCTGGTCTGGTCGCCTTTCCCTGTCGTCTGGCCGCCTGGTCCCGGCCTGGTCGTCCGACGCAGGAAGTGCCGCACCAAGTGCAGCATTCTCCCTCGCTGTCCCGCTGTCTCGTTTCATGCTGCATGCTGCAGGCTGCCATGCTCCACGGAAAGGGAAGGCTATCGACACCGAGCCGACGCTACCTGTTCGGCGCTCCAGAGCCGCCTGCATGCCTGGATCCGCGAGGGCTTGGCGTGGCGAGGCGTGGCGCCGGCCCGTCCGGTGCGCGGCGTCGTCCGGCCCCTCCGCGCCGCCAGCGTCCACGGCGCTCTTACACCACGGCCTCTTTGGGCAGCTCCGGCGGCCCGCACGGACAGCGCCAGCACGGCCCGCACGGCCAGCACGGGCACGCCCGATAGCATCTGTTTGGACTGGAGGCCCACAGTGCCGCGGCCCGGTTCTGCCGGTGGTTTCGGTAATCCGCGTGGAGCGGCTCGGCACTAGTGCGAGTTTGGCTTTGTCAACGCGACACGTCGCGATGCGACGGAGCCCAGTCGAGCGTGAAGTGAACTAAAGCGAAGTGGACTTCCCCGAGCATTGAGGTATCGCCATGCATGGTCGCTGCGCGTGGACCCCGGCCCTATGGTGGGGTCACTGCCAAAGCGATCAGAGGACGCGACCCCTTTACTACTTACTCCCATGGGGAGTGCATGTAAATTACTTCTACGCCATTTATTTTTCCTCGTGAATTCCGACTGATTCTTTACAAGTTACAAGTCATGGGGGCCATGTGAAAAATCACATGAAGACGTCAAAGACGAAAGACGCATTAGGAGGACGCGTGAGCCGACCAGATCCGGATTCTACCGGACAGGACCCCTAGCACCTAGCACCTCCTAGAGCCGGACGGGGCCGACGCCACCCCAGCATCACTGGCCCAGCGGCACGAAGCTGCCTCTTAGTTTCACCCAAGGACTACACTGCTACCACTCTTATTACCCCAGGTAAAAATTCCATGATGCCCAGCCCCTTCCCATGAGGGTTGATGACGTCTATGGGACCTAGGAAACGTCATGCCCAGACGATGCTGTGATTCGAAGTAAAATGTCCAATTTGCTATTCCCATTGGATATGATTTCCCCCAGGACAAGGAAGAGGTCAATAAAAACTTTTGTATGGAAGCAACCGTACTTTAATGTGTCTAAAAAATAAATTACAAATACATTTCAGTTGAAGTGTGTCAAAAGAATTGCACAGTGAATTTTTTTCTATAACAACAGTTATTTCTATTCAAAAAAGTATCAAAATGCAGGCAACTTTGGTATGTATTAGATTTGAATGATAAACAAAACAAAAAATATTGCACGATAAATGCACTTGAAAAGGTATTGTTTGTAAGAAAAATACACCAGAACACTAGACAGAGCAAAGGCATAAAAATACTCAAAAGCTATGGACATCAGTTCTAAGTGCTGTAGATAACAAGCTGGAAGCATTAAAATCTGTGTGAATTTCACATTGCCTAATCTTTGTAATTTAAACATCATAAGCTGTGGATTTCCAACCCAGATTTGGCTCGGCACAATTATTTGCTGTCCTCTACTCACGGACATTAGGTATCAAACCAGTCTTCCCAAATGAGAAACGAATTGATCCCACAAAAAGGTACACTCCTCATTTAGTGATACAAGTAACAAAATAAATTAAAAAGTCTTACATATATCATACATTTCTTTAGGTGGTAGATTTTACTACTAGATCAATTATCACATTTGTTATACTAGGAGGCACACTCAAAAAGGACTTCATCCAAACGTCATCACTAAAACCTACATGAATCAATCTCTATGGACATTGTGTTCGTCACTATAAGGATTCCAGCACATACAAACCAATAATACTCTGATACAAAGTTCAGTATAAAGGACATTTGAACTAAACCATTGCAAAACTCTTTGTACTATCAAGCAAAACTTCTATGAGCACAACTGTGGGCAAAATTAGAAGCACTTAGTAATTTCCAATACCAATTGGAGAAGAAAAACTGTAAAATTTTAGCAAGTCCTGACAAATGCTGCTCTTCACAGTTCAGACACATGAGCATTGTGGGACTGCATACCTAAAAAAGCTGACAGCGTTTCTGCCCCACTTGGAATATTATTTTTGAATGTGCTCATACAAGTTATTAAAAATGGTTTAACAGCCTGACCACTTTTTTTTACATAAGTGAGTCTGTCATGTCAACAACCAGAATGTTATTCAAATCTTGAGATCTGATTGAGGATGAACAAGAATGTCACGGTCTTATTAGGTACTCATCTCAAATTGCTGTCATTTTCTTCAGTAAATCAAGATCAGATCAAGATCATTTGGTCAAAATCATAATGATAAAGTTCGAGGACATCTCTACTATGTCCTTTCAAAATAATGAGTAACACTCTCCTGAATCATAGCAATCAACTATACACAATCTTCTAAAATAGGACTAGTTCATATAAACATTTCTTACTTCTATAAATAAATATTTTATAAAGCACAAAAATATTGACTTTGGTTTAACCACACTATCAATGTTTACCATAAAGGAAGGAAAAAGGTGGAAGAACAAATCAAAGTTGCAAACAAACCAAAAAGTACAACAGGCCAACATCATGTTAATCACATTAAGTAAGTTGGGACATTGAATGAAATAAATAAAGAAAGAGATCATGACTTTGAGTGGAAAAGCTACAGATCATACACTACATTCAGGAACATACAGTTAAAGGAAGAAAAAACATAGCCGTTCCACTGAGAAATTTTATTTCTTTGGGAAAGAGTAATTAAATTGTAAAAAAGTTTGACTCTCTTTTCAGTCTGATATAGCTCTTATTATCATATTTGGCTGTGGCATGGCACGGCATTGCATGGCATAGCCTGTCACAGACAAGCGACAACTTAAATCAAAACAGTGGCTTAGGCGATTTTGCCATGAACTCTAAATCGGTACATGCATGTGTAGTTTATATTGCCATGATTAGACTTAACTTGTATTTCAATCAGCTGAAGAGGCTGCACACCAGAACGCTGACAGAAAAGCAAAAAACCAAAATTAGTATGTTTCTGAAGAAAATAAACAATAGTTACTCACATGTTTTGGGGAACTTACCTGAACTGGGAAATATTGCATGCTAGTACTATTTTGTAGGTAATGGTAGTTTCCAAGCAGAATAGGGTCATGATCTCCTTCTGCCCTCAATCCCTAAAAAGAGAGAAACAAAGGCATTAGAATGACTATGTTGTCAATGAATAAGGAACACACAATACAAATTGCACATACGTAAATAGAGAATTCTTTTGGTGCAGAGTCCATTTTGCCTGTTGGTAGAAGTACTGGTGATATGTGCTCATAAGTGAACCCTTGGACTAGGATTCGATGTGAAAGCTGAATCACAAGGTAGCCTTGTGATCCAACAAAGGCCCAGCATTCACCAGGGTGCATACCAGGCTAATCATGAAGAAAGAGGGTTTCATTAGCATAAAGTAAAGATGAATGTGTGATAAACTGTACCAAAATACAACGTACCTGGATGACAGTGCGAGGACTGTTGGAGGGGTACCATAGGGGAACACCAAACACTGACAAGGTTGGGGACTTTACTTGGTAGGTCTCTGTGCAACGGGTGCTGATAACCTGTCCACCTAAATGTGCAAATGTTACCATTAAATAATCAGCTTTCAAAAGTGTCAAAAAAGTAATACTTAAAGAAAATGATTTTAAAGAGTTAATTGCACAAAAGGGTGCAAATATTTTTTCACACAATTTGAATTTTTGTTGGTAGTACCTTGAGATTCAAGAGCATAATCAGCCATCCCAGTTTTATCTGCGTCATAAAGTGCCAAGGCAGACTGAACTATCATGCGCACTCTGGATTCATCCCACCCGGAAATAGACTGTCCTGAGAATCTTGTCCCTGACTGAAGATGATCATTATGGAGCATATATGAACTGGACACTTCAGCTCGAAGCTTTGACATTTGAGCCAAATACATTTGTGATTCATTTGCAATTCTTGCTTTTATTTCTTCTACTGAAGCTCCCATCATTTCAGCACTGCGACGCTCAAGTTCTGAAAAAAATAATTGAGGTTTGAGACGGTTGAGAAACAAAAACCAAAAAGTTATGCTTCAGAAGTGAGAGGGGATGTTGGCTAGTTACCTTCATTGAAGTACTTTGTCATGTTCGCCATTTTTCTTTCAAAATCATCTTTGTCAAGGAAAGTAGAACTAATCCACAAGCGGATTTCAGTATCATTAAATTGAACAATATTTGCTGGTGCTTTGTCAACAGGAGTCAGATGTGCAGCTACAGCACCGAGCAGAACCAAACCTTCAGGACTACTAAAAAGTTGTTTCAACTCATCGTGAAGTTTTTCTTTGAATGTAGCGGCGCTGACAGGGTCCGACACTCTGCAGCATGTCATGTACCTTCGTTTCCATCGTCTTAATTCGTTCTGGAAACACAGATAAATTTCAAAAGTTGTGGAGGAGTGTCAGAGCAGAAAAAAATTTAATAAAATCAAAATTATGAGTACCTGTAGGGAGACAATCTTAGCATTCAGTTGCTGACCATGTTCTTGTTTAGCTATCAATTCTGCCCGAATCTTATCCTCACTTCTGGCTATTTTAGACAGAACTTCTGCTCGGATGCCCTCTTCACTTTTAGACATTTTTGACAAAATTGAAGCTTCTTGGTTTTGTAAAGCAGCTCTAATAAGGGCTTTGATTGAGTCACTTTGGGCTTCATTTGAAGAAAAAGATGGTAGTCCACTGTCACTTGTCTGATAGTCTGAGCGACTTTCCCATAAATTGATCTGAAAAGTCAATAGATACTTAGGAGTCACAACTTTTCATTTATTCACTGAATCAATAAGAAGAAGACCAATTACCTTAAAGTTTAAAAAAGACGCCATTATCATTTGGAATAATGAAATAATACTCCATCCAAAGGACACAAGCACTTCACCAACAGAAACAAGAAGGTTCCAAGGAGCCAGTACTATGTCATAAAGAACAGAAATGAGACCCTCAAATGATGAAGGACTGAATGGAACTGTCATGCCATGAAACACAGAAGAAAAAAGAGAATGGATCATGCTCAATGGGAATGTTAGGACATTCCATATCCAGCTGCTAGTTTGCTCCTCAGTCATCTTTGGTGGAACTGATGATGAATCATCCCACAACCACCAAACTGAAACAGAGAAAATTTTTTTTTTATCAGAACTAGGAAAGCTTATTACAAGGTTATTTCATATTGATGGTTGACAGAAAATGGATTATCAATAAGAATGAGATGAGGAATGAAACCATAATTAATATACTAGCCGCAGAAAAGAGAAAGGAATTTTTGAAAGGCAAGAAAACTCACCTTACGTTGTACAGGGGTCGAACTACACAAACAACAAGAAGGATCTAGATTTTTGTGACCATCAAAAGAATCCATGTCTAGGACTTACCTCCCCAAAACACCCCAAAAGACATAATAAGATAAAAATGTAATTTATTCATACTGCAGTTTTTGCCAGCTTTCCTTTCTTTTAAAAAAAAACATACAAAATACATGAACAGTATACAGACACTATTTGGATAAATTTAAGTACTGTATAATCATTTGTAATTCACATTTATCCTCACAAGTCTCAAAGTTAATCTGTCCTTTACCTCAGCATGCCCAAGGCTTTTGATGAGGACGAGGATCAATCAAATATTCCTTTCCCCACCTGAGACTTGAGATGTGCAAGCAACATAAAATTTGTTAGAGTTAAACTTGCACACAGCTTATGAGGCTTTGAATTTTATGTTAATCATGATGTTAATGAATACACTAAAAACACAAATAGGTTTTAAAAAGCAAACATTTAATTCTTCAGAAATAATAAAACATAAAGCTTGAATTCTTTTCCAATTATTTTTAAAAGAACATGCCAGATAGTACTTCAATTGAATGTGTAGTTCGCTCCTCAAGTCTGACAAATAGATAAAAGCACATGCAAGAAATGCTAATGCAAGACATAAAAATGTGATCAATAAGTAAGTTGGGTTATAATATCTCATAAGAGACAAGTAAATGTATGTATAGAAGGATGTAAATGTGTGTATGTGAATGTATGAACAGCTGTAATTTCTAATAGAAACAATACTTAAGATAGAGAAAGATTGCATCAGCATCAAAATTTACAACAGGAAAAGAAAGCACAAGGAATGAGAAAAATTTTGGTGGGCATAGGAAGCCTCTCAAAAGGAGCCAAGCCATAAGCAAAGACTATTAGCAGCTTACAACAACAGTGGTATTGCGCATGCATGTTATTATGTCCTGATAGTGAAAGGAATATTGGTCAGCCAGCTTACACCCTGGAACACAGCACAACCAAACTTCAATCAAAACTGAGTCCGTGACAAAGTTGTTGGACAAAATAAGCAGTTTCTGCACCACTACATATGTATGATGTACATGCCCACAATGACTTCAATAAAACATGCGAAACATCCACTCCACTAGATGGACGTAAGTCCATTTTAACTAGTTTTCCAAAATTTCTCAAAAACACAAAGTAAAAAAATTGCAAAAATAGATGCAAAGCAGAAAACAAAACCCATAGAAAACTAACAGTTGAGTAAAAATTCTGAAAGACAAGTTGCACATACCTATAAAACCTAGTAATAGTAGTAGCAGGAGGAGAGGAAGCAATCGAAGAAATCTTGATTTTCTTGTCACTCCTTTGGATGCCCATGTTGACTGCCTGGAGGATGTTGACCACGCATCATTGAACACATCGTGGAATACATTTCGATAGATCCAACTGGATGATCTGTAGATGTGTGTCTGTATTCTTGACAATAGTCCTTCTTGCTTGGGTATGTATGAGTAATAATGTTGAGCTCCTGTAAAAGAGACAAAAACAAATAAAAAATTTACAAGCATGTTTAGGGCCAAATAATAATAGCCAAACAAAAAGGGTAAAGTTGTCAAACTTACTTTGAGCTGGAGGTACTTTTCTCCTCTGACTAAAGGATGTGTAGAAGCTATTTGTGGTTGTTATTAAGAAGGTAAAAATGCTCATCATAAATGATGATACTGTACTTTTCACTATCATCCAAGTGCTTTTCTGTCCTTGTCTTCTGTTGTAAGCTAACCTTGAGTCATCCACCTCATCAGAATCAGAGCAAAAACTGTCTGAATAGTTGAGTCTTGATGGGTTAAAGTGTGACTTGGCTGATGAAAAAATAAAATTAGTAAATTTCAATACTGTTTTAAATGACAAGAAACAACTTACACCGTATATTTTATATCTTACCCGCCACATGGTGATTGACTTGGTTTGTGCTGTGAAGGCCAGACCGGGACATATTTGGTAAAGTCATCACCCCGGGTGAAATTTCACGATGGTAACTTGACAGGGGTGAGTACGTGTAATCCGTTTTGGGAAAAACACTGCAATCAGAAAACACCCATGTTAGAAAGAGACAGAGCATAGCACAGAGGCTCGAGGCGAGGGAATTCAGCAGCAAAGGGGTGACGTCTCTGCCCCTCTCTCGACGGTGGTGCTAAACTGGCGGGAAAGTCAAACATGAAAAAGAGGGGGGGACAGGGACAGGCTGAGTCAACAGCCCCCGCGTCCTCCGTCCGGTTAGCGCGGCGCGGCGGCCAGTGGTCCAGTGTCACTGCCCTGAGGCGGTACGAGTCCTGGGCGCGCCTGCCTGGGCGGGCGAGTCTCGGACCCTGGTCCTCACAGTCCTGGCAGAACTGGAATGCAATGCCCTGGGACTCTACCGGCCCTGGGGCGGCAGGCGCCACTGTGCCCGCTTATCTCGCGCACATCCATCAAGAACACCGTCAAGTAGACGGCCGTCAACGCCAAGGCTGGCCGCGCGGCTGCCACTCCAACTCACTCTCCGTGCGGGGACTCGGGCGACTCCAGCGACACGGCGGCCCTGGACCGGTAGGGGGTGTGCCCCGGGCCGGACGAGGGCGGCGAGCACGGCGACCGCGGCGACGAGACCAGGGAGCGGCGAGCCGACGACGACGACGCGGCCGCGATCCGCGGCGACCGGCGCGGCGTCGTCGACACCGCCTCCATGACGGCCGCGCGCGGCTACGACTGCCTCGACAAAGCCAGGCAAAGCCCGCGCACTTTCAAACTCCACTTCGCCTCGCACTGAAGCCTGCAGGAGCCTTCGATTCACACTACGTATGTGTAGCCAAGCCAAGGCGGCGGTTGCCGGCTGCCAGTCGCCAGACGGGCGATGCCGAAGCTTCGTTCCGTCGCTCTGTCTCTGTTCCACTCGCGGGGCGTCCCGTGAAGTTACGAGAGAGACGGCGACAAAACGACCCCTCGGAACCGCTCGGCAGTCTACGGCGCGCGCGGGAAACGGCGGCAAAAGGGGACGAATTTAGAACGCCAGAGAAAGGCAAGGGGGAGGGAGGGAGAGGGGGGCACATCGCGGAGGTCGACCTCTCCGTCCGACTGCGCGCCGTCCTGCTCGGACTGCGGGCCCCACGCTGCCGTGCAACGCCCTGAAGCAGCTCACTCAGCAAAAGCTGTGGCTGTCCGCCGTCCGCGCGTCAGCGAGCGTGGCCCGACTGACTATGTTGTCGCGGACTCACTCGCTGAACGTGGAGCAGACGCTGTGCGTCGCCCCGCATGGACACCTGCACGCGCACCGCACCTCCAGGGTGCACTTCTCGCACACCCCGGCGCCCTGGCCGCCATGTCCGCGGTCGCAGAGGACCAGCACCTCCACGTCCATGCGCCAGCAGTCCACAACACCGACGCGGCCAGGCCAGCACACTGCCGTCACAGCGGACTCGAGCGACTCGGGGCTCATGGAGACACCCGCAGGGTTCACCGGGGGGAAGGGGGCGGGCCAGGTTAGGTTCACTCGACTACCGAACAGGTGTGTGCCGGTGTCAATAAATAAAACGGCGACTGGCAGACGACAGGCGGCTACAGCGACGGCAGCAAGCAGCCAGCAGGGCTAGCAGACGACGCGACGGCTAGCAGAAGACAAATGGACAAATGCGACGGCCTGACGGCGCTGACACGAGGCGACGCGGCGAGTGCCCCCTACCGACTGCCGACTGATCGCTTGCTTTTCTTTCGGCCGGGCCGGCCGGTCTGGGTCTGGTCGGCTGGCCGATGGCTGAGCCGCCCGGCCCGCAGCGTGGCGTGGCGTGACGTACGTGGACGTACGCGTCGACGGCCGACGCGCCGCCGGCTCCAATCCGCGTCCCGCGTCCACGAGGCTCGCCGGCAGGGCGCGGCGTTGGACCGGTCAGCCGTCGGGCCGCGAGACGCACATGGGCTCTGCCGCTTTGCCCCCACCCAGGCACGCCCGCACGCCGCCGGGCCGCCAAAATCCACGCGACGGACACGAGGCCCTCGAGGCGCGCGGAAAATGGCGGGAAGCAACACACGCGAGCACCGAGGCCTCTGGCGGCAGTGCCGCGGACCCACCCACCCCTATGACAGGTGAATCAGACCCACCTGGTCGCACTCGCACTGGCCACCACACTGGGCACGCGCGCCGACAGCCGCGACGGCCTGCATGGCCTGCAGGGCGGCGCGCGGGCTGATCGGATCGGCCCTTCGTCCGGCTTGGCGGCGCAACCCGCCCCGCCCTTTCCTACTCTCCTAATTTTAGCGCATCTCCACGCCCCGCGGCGCCTTGCCGCCTTTATGGCCCCATTCCGCGCCCCGCGCCGCGGCCGGCCGCCCGATGATTCCGAACACCGCGTCGTCGCTGTCTCTCTCCCACCCCCACGGGGCGCTAGCGGCGCAGCGTGAGTGCGAGTGAGACAGAGCGTGGAAAGCACTGTTCGGGATCGGCCAATAGACGGACACCTTGCGGCGCGTGCGGCGTGGCGCGTGCGGGCCGCTCAGGTTGCGATAGCCGCGGCGTTCCGTTTTCCCGCGCATCGGCCGAACAACGAGGACGGCCCGCGAGATAAGGGCGGATTGGAAGGGGGGCTAATCCACCGTGCCTCGCCTTATCGAGAGGCGATGCCGGAAGGAGAACACACCGACCGACCCGACGGCCGTTGGGCCGAGCCGGGCAGCGCGGCAAGACGAGGAAAACGCCCCGGCCCGGCCAGGCATGAGAAGACAAGACCGAGGCCGGCCCGGGACGGCCGGACCTAGGCCAATTGGGCGGCGTGCTGTGGTGCCGGCCGGCCCTCGGCCATCACGTCGGGGCGGCGCGCGGCGCGTCGCTTTCCTCACAACAACGCGCGCAGAGCGGCGCAGAGTCTCGCCACGCCGCCGAGCCCCCCGCCCGCCCCTTCCGACCAACGCGAGGAGGCTGCCTGCACACAACGAGGGCCACATGGCTGCACCACCGCACGCCGCGCCGCTTGCCCTCGTGTCCCGCCTGCCGACTGAAGAGTCGAAGCGCCCGATACTGCCACGTGCAGCACACCGGAGCGCAGCGGGTTGCCTGCGCAGCCCCTGTCTGGAGCGCCGGGAGGGTAGGCAAACCGACAGAGCTCCACGCACCGCAGTGTGGCGGGGTGCCTACCCTAGCCCCTGACGCTGGAGCGCCCGGAGGTAGGCAATCCGACAGAGCTCCACGCACCGCAGTGTGGCGGGGTGCCTATCCAGCGCCGTGCTTGCCGGGGCCTGGGCTGGGCCGCGGTCCCGCGGGAGCTGTTTAACATTTTTTTTCGGGCCGTAACGACTCGAACTCCTCCCACGTGACGGCGCTGCTTTATTTATAGGGCAATCGCGACACGATTCGTCGCCCAAGGCAGCCCAAAGGCAGCCTAAGGCGAGCCTTCTTGGCTCGGACGGCAGCGGCGCCTTCAATTCAGCCAAATTGCAGCTCCCTCCCCGGGCTGGAGCGGAGTGTTGGCGTTCGAGTGAAAAACAATCGCGTGAGGATCTAGTTCGGCCTGGCCTCGAGGGGCAGCCTCGGGCAGCCTCGCCGTCAGACCGACCGACCGACGTCCCTGTGGAGTCCCTGCGGGGCGTGGTGATGCTAATGCAGGATCACTGCGCTAGCCGCCGCGCCACCGCGCCGCCACGCAGGTGCGCCGGGTACACCAGCATCTCGCTGCAGCAGCGGCAGCGGCCAGTGAATCAAGATCCAATGGCTGCACTCCGCACAGCAAGCGCCGTGCATAAGGACCGGCGGGCGAGTCTCCTGCACTGCAATGCACTGCACAGGTGGCTGCGGCATGCCTTGCGAGCCCCGCGGCGAATGCAGGGAACGGCGAACGGAGAAACGGCCCGTCGCCAGGGACTGCGAACGCTGCGTAGCGCGCGGACCACCAATCCACGCGAGTGATCAAGACACACTGCTCACTGACGTGCAAGCCCGCCACCGCGTGACAAGTCGGGCTTTCTGGAAGGCAGTGCAGTGCCATCACGAAATGCTGGCTCTGCGGCTGAAGCGTCAATGACAGATCCCCCTCACCTCCTCCGGATCGGAGTCCCAAACCGCAGCAGTCCCGCGGCGGCCGGTTCGCCTCACTGCGTTCTGCCGTCCCTATTTTTAGCGATGCGGAAATCGAAGCCGCGCGCGCGGTTTCTATTGGCAGTATTGGGCAGTCAGCGCAGCGCTTTCGTGGCTCTGTCTCTCTCGGGGGCGTTGCGAAGGTGCGAGAGAGACGCCGAATGAGTCCGCAGCAGCCTGCAGCTTGTTGCATGGCGGAGTGGGCTCGGCCTGCCTGGCCTGCCCATGCCCGGCCCGCCCACACCGGCCGGGTGCACTGGCCGGCCGAGCCCAGCCTGGCCCAGTCCAGCAGCGGGCCAGGACTCCAGGCCAGGACTCCAGGAGCCGACCGCAGGATCAGCCGCGCCGCCTCGCGCTTCGGGCAAAGTCGAAATTAAAGCCTGACGAGTCTTCATTCCCCGTTCCGTGCCGTCGTTCCGTCATCAGGGATCAAGACAGCCGGGGGCAGGCCCAGGCAGGCCGTGCAGGCGGGGCAGGCGGGGCAGGCCCGCAAACCACAGGCCCCGCCGGGCCAGGTGAGCGCGCGGAGGGCCCACGTGCTCCCCCCCCCCTCCCGCCCGCGACCTCATTTCAGCCCTTCCAGGTCGGACCGACGTCGGGTCGTCCATCGCGGAGACTGCAGCCCGCCGGCCTGCACCGCGGCCTGCACCGCCTCCGTTGCACGACGCCAGGCCGCTCACTTGCCACCGAACGCTGCCGGGATCCTTCTCCTCCATCGTCCATCCTTCGGCTTCCTCCGGCCTACTTACTTCCACCACTCGCCGGAGCCCTTGTAGAAGCTGACGGCGCGGCGCACCGCCTCCTCCTCGCGGGCCACCTCCTCGGCCTGCTGGGCGCGCTTGCGGGCGAGCGGCGACACGGACAGCGCCAGCGCCTCCAAGATGCACGCCGAGGCCGACCGCCACGGCGACGTCTTGGCCTCCTCCGTGAAGGACGCGTGCTTGCTGACCCGGCCGCCGCGCGCCGCGACGCCGCGGGTGCCGCGCGGCCGCCCGCGAGGCGTCTTCGGCGTGGAGGCGACGGCGGCGGCCGAGTCCTCGGTGAACGACGTGTGCTTGAGGATGCCGACGACGGGGCTCAGGTCCGTCCGGGGCTGTGGCGGCAAGAACCCGTTGGCCATGTCGTCGCTGGAGTGCCGCTTGGAGGAGAACACCTGGAACAGACGTCAAGTTTTGAGCTGAACCCAGACAAGGGGGAAAACTTTCAAGAGACGGGCGCGCTGACTCAGCAGGACTCGGACCACTCACCACTCGCTTCTTGAAGTTCTTGACGGTCTGCTGACTCGGCTGGTCGTGCCTGAAGCGCTCCTGTGCCACTGTGTTGCGTAGGTTCTGCATGGCCACATCCTTGTAGCCCTTCTGGCGGCGCGCCGTGCTCGACGTACTGCAACAGCCAAGCGGAGACTTGAATGCACTTTACGGCTCGGTGCGGCGCGGCCTCGACTCCTCGACGCCGTGCCCGGAGCGCCTCGCGGCTACGCGGCCACGCACGGTACCTGGCGCGCCGCGACACTGTGCCAAGCACCAAAGGATCGGGGGGCCCAGCCCGGCCCGGCCCAGCCCTGCCGCCGCCCACTCCACGCTCCACGCCGTCCTCGTCCTCCTACTCGCCCGCCGGGGAGAGGAAGGAAGGGCTTTAACGACCTGGAGTCACGCCACGCTCCGCCACGCCCCGCCCCGCCAGGACGCGCTTCACTTGCAGTGCAGGCTCCGTCTTTCCTTTCCAGGCGCTGCTTGGCTGGCACACTGCTTTGCATGGCCTGCGTGGGCAGCGTGCCTTGCAGCGTGCTGCCAGTGTGCCAGTGCTGCAGCGAGGCGCCGCGCGGCCCTTCGCGGCCCTAGGCGTTGCGAAACGCGGCGGCCGAAAAGGGCCAAGGACGAGCAAAGCAGCACGGCGCAGCCTTGGCGTCGCGCCTCGGAATCCCTCGACCCGAGCAGCCCGATGACGCTGCAGTACGGCGACTGGAGCGCCGAGGGAAAAGTCAGGGAAAACGGCAATTATTGACTGATTGCGCGAGCGAGCGCTCTGCATCGCCGTGACCGCCGTCGACGCGGAAGCCGGCGCCTCGTCGAAGCAGAGGCAAACTAATAAAACGTTTAAAATACGAGGCGCGCGGTAATGACTCTGCGGCGCGGTGGTCATCGACATGTTTGTCATATTTAAATTGGCGCCGCGCCCCGCCTCGCGAGACGTCTGTCTAGACGGGTCTCTGAATGTCTTTCTAGCCGTGTCTCTCCGTGCCTCTCTGGGCGCGGACGCTCTCCCGTCACGCACGCCGTCGCGCGTCGTCGCGCACGTCGGGCCGTCTGGGGCGTGACTCCGTGACGGCTAATGAAGCGTTCGGCGACGTTCGTCGCGACGCGCGCGCCTCGGTGTGTGGGCGTGTGGACCCTCACGCGCACGAGCGACACCAGAGCGACACGGTGGCCGCCGAATCCAGGTCAAACGGCCGATTGTTGTGAGCTGCCGGTGACCCCGTAAACCGCTCGGGTCGGGGCTTCGGCCGCTTCGGCTCGACGCGTTTCATCCGATGCAGCGATGCAGTGATTCTTTCGTTTCCGGGACGCGTTGGAGCAGCCTAAATGCCGCCACTTGGTCGCCGCTACAGCCCCAGCCGGCCCGCAGCCCACCGCATAGCCCTCCAAACCAAAAGGACAGTTTAACGACTTCCGCCGGACACCGCGCTGCGCTGCGTTGCGGGACTCTAATTGGGCCGTTGACACACGCCGCGCTCTTTGCGCTTTCAGAACCGGACCACTTCATTGTCTTCATTTCGCCGTCTAGTCTCCGCCGCGGCGGTGGTCCCGGTGCGGGCCCTGCAGGACTCTGGCCCGCCGCGGGGCCGCCAGCCCGCCATAGCGCAGCGCGACCGGGCCGTGCCCCGCCATGGGTCCAACACGTGCGGGGTTATAAAAGCGCCGCTATTTTACGACTGTTTGGCGGCGGACTGTGCGAACGGAGCGGTTCGCGCGCTGCTTCACGGTCCACCGCTTCCGCCTCCTAGACCACGGGGACCACGGCCCCAAGGACGATCGAGGACCGCGCCGGTCGGGGCTGGGGATCCTGACAGTAGGCGCCTTCAAGACGACCCGACCCGCAGTGCACACGGCCTAACGGAGCGTGGCGGGCGCGGCGCGGCGGGGCGTTGAGGCTGCTAACAGACGCGTCAAAGTACCGGCTGGCTGGGTACAGGCTGCACCAACACCCGCCCCGCCCCACGCCTCTCACGCGGCAACGCGCGGCAAGCGGTGCCGCCCGCCCGACTTTCCGTGTGCCCGCCCGCCGCCGCCCGCCCGTCCAACCGTCTCGCTCGGGCATACATACATTCATGCATTCCTCTCATGAGCGGCGGCTCTTGTCTCGGGGCCCGGCATGCTGTATGAGAATGAATGAGACACACACACACACACACACACACACACGACGCGTACGCATGCTCGCAGCAATACGGACAGCGGTGGTGGCGGGCCCGTTCGTTGATTCATTCGTTTCGTCCACCCATTCGTTCACTTCATCCACCCGCGTGTCGATTCTGCAGGGGATGAGCTTGGATTGGGCACGAGCCGCGCGGGCCACTCGGGCTTCGGCTTCTGGTCTGCTGACCCGCCGCGCCGCGCCACGCCGCCACCTGGCGGAGGGCCAACGCCCAGTCGCGGGGGAGGGGCGGGGGCGGCGGGCGGCTTCCGTTTTCGTTTTCCCGCCACCGCGAGCGGCGAGTCGGCGAGCAGCGACCGCGCATGAGCGTTGGGCAGCGACACGCCAAGGCGCGCCAAGGCTTCGCCAAGGACACGGAAAGCCGCAACAATGGCTCATTTGGCGGCGGGGCGCTCGGCCCGGCCACTTGCAGAGTTCGCGCGGAGACGACGGTGAGAAACTGTCGCGGAATCCACTGCCTCCCGTGGCTCTCAGCTCCTGGGTGTGGCACCGCTTGTGCAGCAGCGCCCAGAGCCATTGCGCTCTCTCGCACCCCAAGGCGTCCCACGAGTGCGAGAGAGGCAGAGCGATGAAAGCACCGTTCTGAATCGGCCCGGCCGCGGAGTGACGCGTCGCCGCGGTGCAGTCGGTGCAAACACGCGGTGCGCGGGCACACACGGTGTGTACAGTGTACAGTGCGCGGCTAAAACAAGCCGCGGCGTCACGCAGTCACCTCTCCGACGTGCGGCGCCGAGCCGGCCGGCCGGCCGCCGGGACGGCGACGACGTGCGCGACACCGCACCGACGTCGTCGCCGTCCTCGGCGTGGAGGGGAGCAGAGGGTCCGACTCGCCCCCTCGCCAGTGGCCACCCTCGCCTCCCCCTTCCGCGCCGTAACAATGGCTGGCCGTGCCGTGGCAAGCCGCGACGCAATTTAGATCAGCGATAAGGATTCTGCATAACGCGGAACGCGGCGCTCAGCTGTGTCCTCTGCGAGGGGGACGTGCAGAAATGACGTAACGCTGGGCGGGGCGGATTGGGGTCGGCCGGCCGGCCGCACCCTTCGAGCTTCGACTGCTTCGAGGGACTCACCCTCCCTCTCGGGCCTCGGCCGCGAAGCCTTGATCGGCACTGCCGCTGCGCTGCTGCGCCACACTGCGAGTACGGCGCTATTCTCCGGCCCCGTCAGAGCCCTGCCTGCCCTGCCCGCCCAGTATCAAGTGATAAAGCCCCTTGCGATTACTCGGCTCGGCCCTCGGCCCGGTCAGGCCAGAGGCCAGCTCCGGCACGGCTCTGGTTCGCGCGGCTCTAGCACCGGGCAACCGGTTCGGTTCCACGTCGGTAAGGCGTAAGGCCCACTCCGGCTGCAGGCTCCGGTCGGGCAAAGGCGGGCCAAGGTCGCGAAGGCCGGCAAGGCCGGCAAGGCCACCGCACCGTGATAATGGCCTCGCGGCTTCGCGCCGAGCGCGAGGGCGGGAAAGGTGTTCCGTCGTTTTTGGACGGGTCGCGGGTTCAAAGACTCCTAGGGCTTTCCCCCTTTTTTCCCCTCAGAGCCTCGCCGTAATCCTGTCGATAATAACCGACGAGCAGAGAGTCCGGGAGAAAGGATTTGGTGAGAGGGGAGGGGAGGGGCAGGGGCAGACTAATGTGAGGAGGTACTGACTGGGCCCTTCGCGGCTCTCCAAGCACGCTCGGCGCCTCGGCACAGAGAGGGGGAGGGGGGGGGGCATCTTGGTGAGTCACTCCCCTTTACTTGCGTCTAGGCTCAGGTATGGGATGGGCTTGAAAAATAAATTTTAATGCACAGGCACCCTAAAATACATAAGGCACCCTCAATGTAATTGAAACCCTCAGTAAGTTTTAAAAAACAAAGTACGGCCTAAAAAAAATTTTTTTAGTTGTAACTGAGCTAATGGGCCAAAAAGCCGAGGTCTCCGTAAATCATTGAAAATGCAGATTTAGTTTCAGTCATGCCTTGCTATTCAATACTAGGAGAAATGTAAAAGTTTGTGAAAATTTACCTGTACTTCACTTTTTCTCGATCTTCTGATAATGAAATGGAAGCTGATCCATTTCGGACTCTGGATCGCAGCACTCTGTCACTCATGGCTTCAGGTTTAAAATGTACACACAACACTAAAACTTAAAATATGGGGCAGTAGACTGCCTCCAATCTAAAAATTCCATTCAATAATTAATGGAAAGTTCTGTGAGACCCACTAACACGCTCAATCATTCACAGCAGTTAAATGTCACTACAGAATAACCTCTGTATAAAAAGTTTCACAAATACATGTATGGTAGGTACATGAGCTCATAAAATATAGGTTAGTGGCAACCTATCAAAACATTGCTTGAATGCATCAAATGTGATCCTTCAAAGCAATACAGGAGGAAAATGCACGGTCCTAAAATCGTGTTGGTGGTGGTCTTGTGTAGCGTCCTCCAACATTACACTTCACAGCAGTGCTTTCTTCTTGGACACAGTTGACACACAGCAAATGCGTCATCAAATTAAAAGTCACAACCAACTCGCATCACTGAAAAGGAATCGGTGAATCGCGGGGCGTAGCGAACAATGCGCGGACGAGAATATTAAAAACAAACAGACAACTCCCGTCCGACACATCCAACACGACGAACGCAAACAGACTGACCCGTCTGAGAGACTACCACGGTCTGTTGCCTCTGAAAGTGCCTCTTGTGAGACTAAAATAGGCAATGTTATGACAAATTCATAATGAAGAAAAGGCCCTTTGACTAACCTTTGACCTACTTTGATATAAGCTCCCTTATTCGAAATAAATACTTAAAATGGAAGGCAGACTCAAATGTTTTTAGAAAATTCGAAAAAATTTCCCCAAAGTCCTCTTTTTATGCCATGCCCGGGAAAAGGATTGGGATATATATTTCTCATTAGTTGGTGCGGGGAATACGTATCTGAATCGAAATGTTTTCGGTTCTTGGTTGTAGTTGGAAAAACCGTGCATATTTACGGCTTCACTCACCTTCAGAAGTTAGTATTTCTGACGTACTTTAGTAGTAAAATTTGTACGACATGAAGATCAGTTGACCCTAATGATTAACCAAAATTTTATTTCTATCAATATTGCTTTCAAGTATTGCATAATCGTCCAAATGCACCACCGTTCCGAACCCAACTGAGCTTTGTTGTGTTCAGTCCATTTTGGGTTGTTTGTGCAAACCGCTATTACCTGGAGCATATTTTTGTAACAAATATTGAGGGGGATGAGGTTCTCAAATTCGTCGATCGATTGGAAGTCTTTTGCGTCGCTTACTATCGATATGTTGTTTGTTTTTGTAGCTGCGGTCCCAGCCGGGGGCGCTCGGTGCTCGCTGCTTGCACTGTTTACCCGAAACAGGGGTAAATCTTCCCTGGGATTTCCAACATGACATCGCTGGCCACGGAATATGTCAAAACTGACGATGGTATGTACTGCTTGAGTTGCACTTCGTTTTGGTCTTGCTGCAGATGATCGTTACATATACGGTGATTTGGGTTGGTCTCAAGCTTTCTCCTCGTATTGCCATTTAGGCAGTAGTGCGTCTCTCATTGATTTTCAATGAGTTCTGATAGACGTTTTTAAGTTTTGTCTGAAATAAAGATTATCCTCGTCTCCATTTCCAAGCCATATCTAGAACAGCTATCTATAATTTGAATGCCTTTTATTCAGGTACCCGTTTTATCCCTGCGACTCAACGTCCTGATGGCACATGGCGTAAGCCTAGGAAAGTGAAAGATGGCTACGTCCCTCAGGAAGAAGTTCCCCTGTATGAGAGCAAAGGCAAGATGTTCCAAAATAATAAGCCACAGTATCCAGTGGGGCTCAGCCCAGATCTGATTGCTGCAGCTGAAGCAAGGAAGGCCGGCAACAATCCTATTCCCGGCTTAGTGATCCAACCTCAAGATGGTTAGTAGTTTCCTGAGTTCCTGTTACTTGTCTAAAATGATTTTGATTTAAATATCCGGATGCTTTATTCATATTGTTATTTTATTTTTCATTTAAAGCTAAGACTGCCAAAAAGAAGAAGAAGAAGAAGGCTGGTCAGGGGGAAGATTTGAGTGAGGCTATGTCAAGAACATCTCTTTCTGAAGCTTTGCTCTCTACAAACCACATCACATCATCAGAGGCCGCATCCCAGGACAATGAGTGGAAAACCTTTACTGCTAAAGGAAAAAGCAAACGAGGAAATCCAGTTCCGGAAGCTCCACCCAAATCTAAAGCAAATGCGGTTGGAATTTCCCCACAAACATCGAAGCCTGCACAGAAAGCTGCCCCGAAACCAGCACCAGCTCCAGTTGCCCAAACCCCTGCCAAGACTGATACTGTGTCAGATCCAGCTAAGCGCCTCAAGAACTTGCGCAAGAAATTGAGGGAAATTGAAACTGTAGAACAGAAAGCAGCTTCAGGAGTCAAATTGGAAAAGGATCAGCTTGATAAAATTGCTCGCAAAGCTGAAATTTTGAAGGAGATTGAAGATTTAGAATAGATGTGATTATTAGTCTATTACATGGTTTGTAGATTGTTTTTGGCTTTATACTACTGTACTGCCAGGAGCACCTGATTGAAATTTACTCAAATTATTAGCTATTTCATGTTTTAATAGCCTTACCTAAGATTCTGTCTTCCCTTTCTCCTGTAGGAGTAATCAGTCATAGATTTTACCAACCTGTTTTCTTTCCTCCATCTTTGTTTCCCTCATTTTAATTTATTTTTCTGGAATGAATTATTGAAAAATTTTATTGATCTCTGGACATGGTTTTCTGTTGTGGTTGAAAAGTTTAAATTTTATGATTTGACAATGGATGCATTTAATCTTATGAGTAACAGTGCATTTAACCAGGTTTTACAACTGGGTAGGCATCATTATGCCTATTTTCTATCACAATCTGTAAGTGCTACTCACAGAGTAAGTCACAATGATTAAAAGAAGTGCTATGGTGAGGTACTTAATACTAGTAGTTAAATCAATTTCATGTACTAGTAAACCTCACCTTTCCTTCCCAGAAGAAAATTCTTTTAAGGTATGCATGTTAATTTAATGGTAGTAGTAGTGTACATATTAATGTTTCAAATGAATTGCATGGAATTTCATGCCAAATATGAGAAAGTAAAATTGGTACACATCCTGGGCTTTGCACTATTTTTGTATCTGAGTGAAACTGAAACACCAAATGTTTATACTACCTTACCCTCATAGAGGTCTAAATGTGATACATACATGGCTTGAGCGAGGAGGCAATCAGAATTTAAATTTTCTTGCTCTGAGTGAGTGAGCTACAAAATGTGAGCAATAAATGAAATAGTGTACCTGAAATTTATACATGGGTTTAGGTGATGGCATAGAAAACTACATTTTACTTCAAATAATTGAAGCACCAAGTACAATCACTATTTAAGTAGACTGTAGCAAAACTGACTTGTATTTATTATTAGCTTCTTCACTGAGTTGGCTTCTAGTAATATTCTTTAGATCACTGATGATGCTTGAAATTCGAGGTTGTTTTTGTAATTAATGTATGTAGATGAATCATGTGTTATATATTCAGTTGTGTAGATTGAATGAACTGAAATCTGTCCTCATCATGTAAGTTATTGTCCGGTTTAAATTTTACCTCCTTCTTATTAGCCTTTCTGCCTAACCCCAGATGTATGTACTGTATGCATCTGTATGTATGATTTTATCTTTGAAGAACTGCTCTTGACTTAAGTGAAGAGAGGATACTTACAGGCCATCTCAATGACTTGTCATCAAATGAATCATGTCATCTAGCTTTTAATTTACAGAAAGAACTTGAACATATTTCTGAGACTGATTCTACCTCTTGTTGCAGCTGCTGACACAGGTGCAACAATTATAATGTAAAATGTCATGGCTGCATAGAATAAAACCCTCTGATAAATTTGACTTATATTTTTTAATAACCTAATTTTTACCATTTGCAGATCCAAAAGCTTTTTTTTTTTTTTTTTTTTTGGGGGGGGGGGGGAGGGGTTGAGCACTTAATTAAATATCACATTACAGCTATAAATATTTACACTTTATTACAAATGAAAATAAAAACATTGTCCATGTCAAAGTTTCCATAAAATAATAATTGATACAGTTCCATTAGTTTCTGCGTCGCCTGACTCTAGAGATACGCCATGCGTTGGGCTCTTCATATTTGTTATACAAAGGTTCCAAGCGCTGGTTCTTCTTAAACTTGCTGAGTTTTGTGGGGTCTGAAAACTTGAAGAAAGCTGGAGCAAATTCAACTAACCACTTCGGATCAATTGTTGTGACTTCTCTCATATACTCCTTAGTTGTTTGTACCAATTCATGGTACACAACCCTGCAATAATGAAAAAGTAATGTTACCACATTATCGTACACAAGAGGCTTAGGTAGAAGTACAACTGCTTACCATTCCGGCTGTCTGTTAAATAGAGCGCTAGATGGATGAATGTATACCACTTGACTGTCAACAAGGGTACGGTAACCTTCTTGAGGATCTTTTTTGGCAGCGTTACGGAAGAAACCTGAACACACTGTTTTCTGAACTCTAACTGTATTCTTTCCAGCAGAAACAACATCAAGTTTGTGCCTGTGACAAAACAAAATAGAAAATTAATACCAAGTAGTCTCCAACTAAAATTAAGGTTTAACTTCAATTCCTGTCTGGAATGTAATATATACAGTACCTGTCCATGATTCCAAGAAGCTGTTTTCGCACATCTTGAGCTCGCTTTAAAGTACGGATTTGAACAAAGTTTTCATAGCACCAGGCATTGGAAAATTTGTTGTTTTTCCAAGAGTTGTAAACAGAGAGAAGAGTGAGGTGGTCACCCTCGGCCTGATTAAATTTGGCCTTTTTCTGGTCAGCCAAAGACTGCTTGTCCTTGGGTCTAAAATAAAGAAAGAAACACAATAGTGAGCAAGAATAATGACAACAGTTCACACAAGACTATGAAACTTAAGGGGGGGAAATGTTGCTTACCTGTAAAACACATTTTGAACTGACAGCATTGACACTATAGTGAGGACTTCATCAGAACATTGAAGGTGAACTGACATAATTAACATTTTGGACAGATTTGGCTCAAGAGGAAACTCTGCCATCTGTGCAACAAGAAACAAAGGTATCATTAGATTGTGCCCATAGAAAAAAAACAACAACACAAAATGTAGAATATTTATGTGTACTGACCCTTCTCCCAAGCCTTGTCAGAAGACCTTCACTGTCAAGAGCGCTAAGGGAGTGTAACTGCTCTAGAGCCATGATGAGTGATTCTACAGGTGGGCATCCATGAAATCAAAATGAAGGAGATCATTGATACCCATGGTCTTGAGCTGTAGAACCTGAAATATTTTTGAAAATTCGTGTGAATTACAATAAGGTACAGAGGGCAAAAAAAAGTGTTACAATTTTAAAAGAGCTGATTTTATGACTTACTGTAGTGGCGAGGTTGGTACGTTGGATTTCAGGTACTGGGGTCGGTAACATCTCATCTCTGTAGGCACGTTCTGTATACAGACGGTAGCATTTACCAGGACCTGTACGGCCGGCTCGACCCGCCCTCTGTTTAGCCTGAGCCTGAAAGACAAAATATTACTGTCTTTTAGCATGGCAAAAAAAAGAAAGATGATGGGGTATGTATTAATGCATTTATAAGCTAGCTACCTGTGAGATAGGTGTCACAACAAGTGAGTCCATGCCTGTTTTTGAATTATATACTTTCTGTTTTACAAAACCAGGATCAACCACATAGTAAATACCATCTATTGTCAATGACGTCTCAGCAATATTAGTTGCAATAACGACCTGAAGAAAACAAAAGCAGGTTGTAATAAAAATCTGAAAAATGCCTGAAAAATAATACAAATGAAGGTGAACATACTTTACGTGAACCTGGAGGGGCTGGGTCAAAAATACGAGTCTGCATTTCACTAGGCAAGGCAGAGTAGACGGGTAAAATAATAAGTTCAGGAACGTCTGGGCCCAAACTTTTCATTCTTTCAAAAAGTATTTCACACGCCGTATCAATTTCTTCTTGTCCCGTAAGGAAGAGTAGAATGTCACCTGATGAATAAGACAAAATATTAGTTTTTAGATGAAAAAATTATCAAAACACAAATGCAATAGAAAGAAAAGTCACCCAATCATCTACTTGCCTGGAGGTTCTCGCAAGTGGATTTGCATAACAGTGATAAGAGATGCATCAAGATAATCTGTTTCAGGTTCTTTGGTATAGAGGACTTCCACTGGGAAAGTACGACCAGGAATAGTAAAAATTGGAGCAGCAAAGAAGTACTGTGAAAATTTCACTGCATCAAGAGTAGCTGACGTGACAATCAGTTTTAATTCTGGCCGTTTTTTGACAGCTTGCTTCAACAACCCTGCAGAAAAAAAAAAGATTTATAGAGACTGTTAAAATGTTCCGAAATGCAGGCACAAAATAAAAAGTATCATAATCTTAAACTCACCAAAAAGAACATCAGTGTGTATGGTACGTTCATGAGCTTCGTCCAACATGATAACTGAGTAGTACTTTAAATCCAAATCTATCAAACACTCTCTTAACAACATACCATCAGTCATGTATCTGAAATGTCAAGGCAAAATTTTAAATAGATTAGCACAGAAATTTATAACATTGTCGAAACAAGATCATGATGGTGGTAGTCTTACTTGATAACAGTTTCTTGACTGGTGCAATCTTCAAAACGAATAGTGTACCCAACTTCTTGTCCAAGACGACATCCAAATTCTTCAGCCACTCGCTTAGCTACTGACATGGCAGCCACTCGCCGAGGCTGAGTGCACCCAATTTTACCTCTGGAGGTGAAACCGGCTTCAGCCAAGTACTGTGTTATTTGAGTTGTTTTCCCAGAGCCCGTTTCTCCAATAACAATCAAAATTTGGTTGTCATTCACAGCCTGTTGTATGGAAAGGGATTTGTAGAATGAAAAAGATGGAAAGTAAACATAAATCAACAGGTCTGGTAAGCAATAAACCTATCTTACCTTAGCAAGCTCATCCTTCAGCTTGTAAATAGGTAAACTCTGACGCTGCTCCAAAAGACTCATGTTGGTTTTCTTTCCAAAAGAGCTCTTTCGACCTCCAATAACATGCTTTTTCCATTCTGGAAGATCTTGCACCGTGTTTCCTATACCCCTCATATTTGCAGCAAGAGCTCTTCCATCCGCTAGAAAATGTTAAAAGCAGGGGAACATTATTATACAAGAACAGAAATGACAGAAACAACAACACTTGTATGATTACTCAACTTACCCTCAGGCAGAGGATCAATCCAATTTTTATTCAATCCTGCAGGGACAGAATCCATTTCTTGTTCCCTCTGAATCATTTTAACTTCACGTCTTTCCTTGGCAAGTGCACTTTGCATCATAGCAGCCTAAGCAGAAAAAAAAAGTAAAAACAATTTTAAAATGCAAAAAAAAAATTTTTTTTAATTAAAAAATGGTGGAACTTACCTGAGCCAGAGATCCATCTGGATTTTTGACAATTCTGACTGGAGAGAGATCATGCAACATTCGTCCATGCCCTTGAAGGAAAGGAGGCTCATCTTCTACAATTTCTATTTCAATGTCCTCTTCTTCGTCATCCTCTTTAGGAAGAAGTCCTGTTTCGTCATCAAAGTCGGGAAGCTCTGATTTGTCAATGCAAGCTGCTGACAACATCTGCAGAGCAATCAGGTATTAAACAGTGAGATTCAATCAAAAACATATAACCATCTCTTCATACAATCCACATACCTGTTTTATTTCCCATTTCTCTGGTGATGAAATCCTATTCACTCTTTTTCTGCTGTGATTGTCATCATCCTCCAGGTCACCTTGCAGGTCTAGGAGGGATGTTGGCCTGTCTGGATTTCTATGGGCTTGCTCTGAGTCACTAGAAATGACCAATGTAACAAAAATTCATTAGTTAGACAAGAAATTCACAAAACTATGTCCTATTTTATCAACACAACTTACACTCTATTTGCAGGTTTAGCTATGGCAGGGTTGAGATCTTCTCCTGTATCTTGGTCTACATCCTTCATAGAAAGAGAGACTTTTTGACCAGCCACTGATAACACTTTCACGCGCACTTTTTGGCCTCTTTGAACAACGTCTTGTGCCTGCGTTACTCTTCCTTCCCTTCTCAACTGAGAAATATGAACTAAGCCTTCCCATCGCCGACGTAGGCCTTCAATTTGCACAAAGCAACCAAATTGTACAATATTTGCTACCTTCCCAGTGTAGATCTTTGGATAAACAGAGAGATCAAGTTCATTTTAGATTCAGCTTTTGATAATAAAGAGAAGCAACTTAGTTAAGATAATCAGTAGTGTGAGCGGATCCAATACATGGATGAGAGAATATCTTACCTTTCCTAATTCTGGTTCATTGGCCAGATCTTCATCAGGAACCTCATCAATGGATCCTCTTCGCCTATCTCGATCTCTATGATGTCTGTCACCACTTCTGTCCCGTTTTCTGTCCCGACTCCTGCTACGATCCCTCTTTCTATCTCTACTTCTACTTCTGCGATCTCTCTCTCGGCGATCTCTGCTGCGACTTCTCCTCCTGCCATCGCGACTTCTGCTTCTTCTACGACCATCTCTGCTTCTGCTTCGCCTTCTTTCTCTATCTCGACTTCTTGGACGTTTTTCTCTACTTTTGCTACGATGTCTCCTCTCTGTGTCTCTACTCCTATCTTGGCTTCGACTTCTATCTCTCCGTTTGTCTAAATCTCGTTGCTTGGTTTTTGTTGCTTCCTCCTTGCTAGGCTCTGACTTCATCTGAGAGGGCCTAGAAAAATAAAATTATGAAATAAAATTAATTGTTATATAAAGAGTAGTAAAGACAATGAAGGACAATGAAGGCTACATACCCCGCTGATGGAGCCAGGGCCTCCAAAGCAGCCATGGCATCATCAATGACGTCAACTTTAGTTTCATTCTTCACAGTAGGTTTGATATCAGCCTTAGAGTCCGAGTCTTTGTCTTTGGCCTTTTTCTTTTTCTTGCTTTTTTCTTTTTTATCCTTTGAATCAGCACTGTATTTCTCATCAAATTCAGGGTCATTAGGGAGAGCTAGGCCAGGAAATTTCATGGCCAATTTATCTTGTTTGGTGGCAGGCTCAAAATTAGAGGGCAGTGACGAGGAGGAAGAGGCTGGTTTCATGTGTTGAATAATACGAAGAAGGTTGCTGACAAATGAGTCCTGAACAAGTAAGAAAGAATGAATAGAGAGGAATCACACAGCGAACATAATCTTGGCAGTTCCATTGTGAACGTACAGAAAACTCTGCTCCATTTTCGTCTAGAACTTTCTTGAAAGACTCAAGTGTGTTATTTTTCACTGAGAGGGCGATGATGAATTCCGCTGGAAACAAAATAAGAAGAGAAAAGTAAGAGCATGGACCTTCACTGATCATTGATAAAATGGTACATAAGGAGCACATATGGAGATAAGAAGACTGATACCACAATACAAAATATTGTGGAATGAAATAATTTGGTGTTTCAGGTAAGAATGTCCACAAATAACAAGAAGTATCCGTTTGCGTGACAACACCGAAGGGAGACATAACCTCATAAAGATACAAAATACTGCACCCCATCTCACCTAAGTCTTTGTCATTTAAACCTAAATGATTCTCGAGTTCTGTACAAATTTTAGACACCAATGAAAGGTGTTCTAGCTTCTGAACTTCATCCATTTTTGCACAAATGAGCTTGAAAGCAACAAATCGACAGTGAAACGCTTTCTTCACACTTCCAAAACAATGTCAAGTGCGAATAACGTCACGGGTTGCCAACTACGCAACGCTTAAAATTCAAGTTCTAAATGAATCAATAAACGTTTTGGGGTATTTTACGAGAAGTTCTCTAGAAAATGTGGTATTCAATTTATGTTAGTAAAATTCAGCAGAAATGCAAATTTTTCGCCTCTTTCCACGAGGAAAACTGTCCCTTCCCCAAAGGTGGCAACTCATTAGTAACAGGAAAGCTTTATTTGTTTTCGTTCAATGGTACTCACTCTAGCATGCGTTTTGATGAATTGAGTGTCAGGTTAACGTCTATGATCGAAAAACTGGCAACTAAATCTAGTACGTATTCAAGAGAAACAAATTGAATGGGACAACAACGCGCTGACTTCAAATTTCCCGCGGTGTCCGTGCGCACATGCGCACACAATACAAGTACTATGTGAGCCAAGCTGAAAACAAATTCGTCGCATTTACTCGACAAATTTTAAATATTGAAACGAAGAGAACAACTAAAATTTGCTGTTCGAACCTTGAAAAGTGTCGAGGTATTGAAAGCAATCCGTCTAAATAATTTTTCGAGCCAGGGCTGACTCTGTCGTCTGCTGAACCGAGAATCGTCTGTTTGTTTTTATAGGTGTCTGCTTCAGCCACGGTGTGCAAGAAGGTCTGAGAATTTCTGCAGGGTCCACGCCACCAAGAATGAGATTTTTCTGTATTTGGTAAGTGGAATTGCCACATATTTTAGCTTTTTAACACACCTCACCCATCATTCTTACACACAGAATCATAATTACGGTGAGTACGTGTTTCGTTATCAAATCGGATCTCCAAAACCCCTTCTCTGTATCCCGGGGATCAATGCTCATTACCGAATGACCCAGGCTGTGTAACTTCTCGTTTTCCTCTGACCGACGGCAAATCGTCAGCGACAGTGGCTGACAGCGATAAATTTGCGCGCGAGGAGACTCATTCAACAAGGAGACTCCTCTCATGTTCTTGTTCCGCTTGCGAGATATTGTCAGCATTTGACAGGTGCTGGCCTCTAGCCAATTTCTAACCTTACTCCTGCGTCGCTCGGGGATTAGTCGTTACCCTTTTTGTTGTGTTCTAATGCGTTGGAGTGCACGGCAACCTAAAGCCGATCATCTTCTTATATTTTTTAATACTGGGCCTAACAAGCTAAGTAAAGAGACCAAAGGAGGAAGGTTGGTTTTAGTTTGGGACTCCATGGTAATATAATTTAGAAAAAAAATATTACTGAGTTTTTGAGTTACCTTCACCAGAAACCAAGAGAAAATACAAATGGACCATACAAAAAACAAATGGATCATATTAAAAAACGTTAATGGGTTGTCCATGTGTGTCATATCAGTCAAAATCTTTGGCAAAGGTAATCATATCCTCCATAAAATATTGAGATAAAAATACATCTGCATGTGTGCTCCTTGTATGCCGCCCTAATATATAAATTCTCGCCACAGTCTCTCACCCATAATGCTCTGCACCTTCCCAGAAAGATTTAAGGCATTATTTTTGAACAAGGGTGTATGTTTCCAGAACCACTCACCAAGCTAGCACTTGAATCTTTCATTGTCCCCCCCCCCTCTCCCCTCTGTCTCTATTTATCATTTATGAGTTTATCCCCTGATGATCGCGGAATTAATTGTGACATTACCGCCAAAGCCCCCGGCTGCCGGATTAGCGGCGCGTTTGACCCTTTCCGTCATGGTTTGATGAAGCCGGGCTGCTGCTGGCCTTCCCCATTCCCCATTCCAGCCGTGCGTGGCGTGCGTGGCGTGCGTGCTCAGAGGGCTCCGAGTGTTGCCGTCGCGTGTGCCTCCGCCTCGGCCTGCCTCGGCTTGCCTCGGCCGGCGGCGCGGCGGGACATGGACCATGGGCGCGGTGCCCCTTTTTAAGAATCCAATCCTGGAGGCTGGAAGGGCTGGAAGGGCTGGAAGGGCAAGCCGTGGCGGAGGGGCTTGCGGCGAGCGAGAGGGAGTGAGAGAGAGGGGTGGCGGCGGGCTCCTTGGACTGCTCGCCGCCCTCCCCTTCTGGCCGATGAATTTATCATAGCGCCGGAATGTGTGGGATCGCACGGCCAGGGTTGCGGGGGGAGCGAAACCCTTTGCCACACCTAGAGGACCTAGAGACCGACGCCGGCTCCACGGGAAAAAATCTAACAATGTCGAACTGACGACGCCAGTGACGTCAAGGCTGGAACCGGCCGGTGCGGAACGGGCGGGCCAGGGCCCGCCTTGCCGGCCTTGCCTACCTTCGAGGCATCATCGCAGACATCTAAACGGGCCGATGTCATTATCGAGCGTTCTGGCCTTTCCTTCCTCGGCGGGGTGGGCGGCGCGGCGCGGGGCGGCGTGCCTTAGGGAAATGAGAAACCAGAACGCCTGGCGCCCCTGGAACCGAATCTGGAGCGGAAGCGCGCGTCGGGGCGGCGCCGGGCCGCCAGGCCGCCGGGCCGCCGGGCCGGGGTGCGAACCCCAAGCGCGAACCCCAAGCGCGAAGCGTGGCAGAGTCAGAGTCACCTCCGCGCTTCGCTGGCTTCACTTGCTCCGCTGGCTTTGCCCGCTTTGCCCCGCCCGGTCATTATTGGCAACATCCTCTAACGACGCCGCCCTGCTTCCTCCGCGCCCCGCCAGCCCCGCCAGCGCCAGCCCCGCCAGCCAGTCCCTTGTCTTGCCGGTGGAAAGAAATCGGAGGCCGGGCGGAGTGTGGCGCCAGCGAGTGGCGAGGCGTGGCGCTACAAAGGGTGCCACCCACCCCGCCCCGCCCCGGTCGACTTGATGGACCTTTTCCCTCAAAGACCTGAAAATGTCAGGATATCGAAGCCGCAACCAGACCTCCAAATTACCCCTCCCCTCCGTTGCCTCCACGGCTCGCGGTCGCCCCGCGGCACCCCCACGCCCCGACACCACCGCCAGCCACGAGTAACAGACTAGTACTCGGGGTATTGCGGGGTGGGGTCGGATAGACGAGACGGGTCCTCGACCAGCACGGCAGGCGTATTGCAAGGTGGCTCGACCCGAAAACATTTGTTCTCCGAGAGATTTCCACGTGAAGTCCTCAGGCAGAAAGTCGTTCTGTCTCTGTCGCACTCGTGGGGCGTTGGGGTGCGGGAGAGACAGCGACGGAAGTTTTCGGAAGCGCTCGGCAGAAAACTGTGCTGACGGAAAGTGGGGCGTGTGGCGGTGCGGCGCGTGGCCTTGGGGGCAGGGGCGGCCGGGGGCGGGCAGGGGTTGCGCGGCCAAATTTGGCTGGGGCCCCGGGTGGTCCATGCCGAGGGAAAGGGGGACCGGGGGGACGGGACGGGGCCTCGCCGCGGTCCCGCTTGCAAGCGCATGGCCCTCACAAAGGGCGAAGCAGTGCAAGCCAAATAGGCAGTCGCCCGCAGTCGCCCCGCCCTTAAAAGGCGTGCCAGCGGTGCTAGCCCTGCAGGGCCTGCAGGCCGTCGGCGCCGTGGTGCTGGTGTGAGTCCACGCGTCGTCACGACACAGCGGCGTCCTTGACACATAGCCATCACGGCGGGCATCAGCTGATCGGAGCGCGCCGCCCGACGGGGGCGTGTCGACATGCTTTTTTGCCGCGGCACAAAACACAATACGCGAAGCGCGAGGCCGTGCCGGAACCGTCCTGGGCCGCGCACCGCGAATGCAGATTGATGCCTGGCTGGGCCTGTCGGCCTTCTAGGGGACCTGTTGGCTGCGGCGGGCGGCCGGGCCTCGTCGCACCGCGTCGCACCGCGTCGCACCGTCGCCGTGCTACTTAGCGCGCCTTGTTGACGACGGCATTGATGTCGCGGTACAGCGCGCGGCGCGCTTCCTCGCGTTATGCAGTTGGAAAGTGTTGTCGGCGCTGATGAAACCAAGCCGCCCCCTTAATGGCCCGTTGCGTGCCCTCGCCGTCTACGCGGCCCGTGTCGTCCTGGCCGTCCCTCCCCGTGCCGTCCTGCCGTGGTGGTGGCGGTCGAGTGGGCTCACGGGAATCACGCGGACACGACGGCGCGGGCCGCCAGGCTCGGCAGTGCAGTTCCACCAACCGAGCCACTGCCTAAACACAGTTTGAAGCGCGCGACCCCTCGGCCGTGTCTTGCAGTGTGCCGACCGCATGCATGGCCGACTCGCCGGAGTGCCGGGGCATGGCCGGGGGGTTGGCAGCAGTCGCGTGTCGTCTGCTGGTTACTGCGTGGGCCGGGCCCCGGCTGCCCCTGCCCCGCCTGCCCTGGCTGCCCCGGCCATGAATCGTGGCCGAATCGCGCCGAATCTGAACCTGAAGTTTTGTGCGCGTCCCCGCTTCCTTCCCCCTCCCCCTCCCCGGGCCGGTCCATCCCTCTTCGCTGTTGTCGCCGTATTTACACTTAAATGGACGCGAGCGTGGTCCCGCGGGGGCCGTGCCGCCGTGCCGTGCCGGTGCTGGCCCGGCTGCCTGCCTGCCTGCCTGGCGGGGCGGGCCCGTCAAGGGAAGCACGGCATTGTAAAGGTCCACATTGATTCCCGCTCCGATCCCTCTGCGTAATTTCCTCAGGGAGGCGACACGGTCCGACTTTTAACTCCCGACTGCCGCGTTTGCCGCGCTCGCGACGGCAGTAGTTCGCTCCTCGTGTGGCTCTCGCTCGTCGGGACAGGCGGGACCTAACCAAGGCTTCTCTAGGAGTCAAGTCTTTGGTGTCGAAATGCATGCGAGACGTTCTTCGGCAATGTGCGCAGTGTGCCCCTACATCGCGTTGCCGCCCAAAACGGCCTCCCCCTCCCCTCCCTCCCGCTGTGCCAGTGTGCTTGCAGCGTGCTTGCAGCCTGCCCGCCCGCCGCCCGGCCCTCCTCTTTTTGCGCCGGCCTACCCGGGTGTGAATGTGTGGGTGTGTCTGTGTGCGCGAGCGCGCCCGTCTGTGTGCGGAACAGTGTGGAAGAAGATGTGCGATATGAGGTGATTATCTTTTACGAGCCGCTCCTAGTTTGTCATCGAGTTCAATGGGGATTTGGCTTTGATGGCGATTCTCCAGTGAGAAATATCTCATGTCTCGCAATGCTGGCCGAGCGGGGCGAGCGGGCCGTCCGGGCGGCAGCGGCCATGGCCATGGGCCGCCATGGGTAGCCTAGCCGTGGGGCGGCGGTGGAGTTACAGTGTAGGAGGTGGCAACGCGATGGTGGCGCCGTCTGGCGTGCGGCAGTGCCACTATCTATTTGGCTGGCCTGGCTGGCCATGGCTGGCCGGTGCTATGCCGTGTCGTGTCACATTGCGCTCCTTGTCTTGTGTTTTGTGTCTTTGTTTCTCACGACACGAGATATGCCAAGTCATATGCAGCGAGACAGAGACAGCGGCACTGCGCCATTTATTTTATTCGCTTATTTATCTTGTCGGTGCCGCCCACACGTCCAGGCAGGCAGGCCGGCCGCGGCCCTCGGAAACTATCCGCGTGAAAATGCGCGAAGGCGCGCCACAAATTCGCGCGCCAAAGTTGGCCTATCTTCCCGGTGGCCTGGTTGCGGTGGCCGCCGTCCTCGGCGTCCTCGGCGTCGCCGCGGCGCGCGTGTTCGAACAAGTTGCAAATGGCCTTCGCCATCAGCATGAGGAACAGCTTGTGGACTCTGGCTACCTTTTTGGCACACATTTCCTTTTTTTTTGGCTCCCTTCTTTTCCTCTTTACGGACCGCGCACGCGGTGGGCGCCGTGGGCCGCGATCCCAGAATCCGAGTCAGGGTCGTTAGTC